GGGGGGGGTGGTGATCCAGTACTTATTCATTTGCCTATAAACTAAATCAAATCATTGGTATTAATTTCAAATAAAGTGGGGGAAGCTTGATCCTATCGATTTAGTTGCGATTTTGTGGGCTCAATGGTTACTAATCATTGCAGCCCCTGTCCACTAAATTCTCACAAATAGCTCTTAAAATTCTAGGGCAACGTTTCTTATTGTTTTTTTGTAAACAAATCTTTAAACGTTCGAATAAATCAATGAGCTCATTCACTTCTTAACGACTTCAAGTTATACTAATTCACGTATATATATAGGTAAAATGTTACTAAATAATTGCACTTAGAATGAAAATATTAATTGCGAAGTGCAGGTAGTTATATTTATTGTTTATAATTACACGTCTCATCGCAATTTCATGACTTAATTGTTGTTAGTGTTTAAATTAGCATTAAGGGGAAACTTGGCCGACCAACGAGGAGATACACCAGATGTAATTCAACCTTAATTTCATTTTGGACAATTAGAGAGCAATTACTAATATAAGTTTCATTAAAGATCTTTAAATTCAATAGAATTGATGCCAACTAGAGTACATCGAAGTATCATCATTCGCAAGTCTACTAAGAGTGTTGGAATGAGGAGTAACTGTTTTAAATGCCTATTCTTGTTCGAGAATCAACACAGAGAATCTTTGTGTAGTGACTACAATCTTTGCATTTAAGTTGGACATTAGGAGATCAAATGCGCCTTATTTGTGAAAACAATTGGTGGAGTTATGTTTGGAGATTCGATTAAGGCCGAGATAATCTAATGTGCCCAATATTCAACTAAGTAGGTGTCTTGCACTTAATAAGTCATGCGTAAGAAAAATCTTGGAGAAAATCCAGTATGTGAAAGTGGATGAATTATTGAGAAAAAAATAAGATGCAGATTTCTGCAGATTTAAAACTATCTTACCACTTACCGTCAGAGAGACTATTTCCCTTCTCTTGACGATTGTTGAAAAAAAGCAATGCATTCATCGAATCGACAGATTCTGCGCAGTTGTGAAATCAGTAACGACCTTTATGGGGATTGAAAGCGTTGGAAAGTCGACCCAGGATCCAGTATGTCCAAAAATTATTTAAACCCAGTTATATATTGCAATCTCAATCGTTATCAAGAGATAAAACACACGAACAGTGCCATAAAACCTCTATATCTCACCTGTGCGAATTGAGTGGATTCAC